TGTTAAACTGGCTGATCACCAAATGTCGGGAATGCTACCTGGCATGGAGCACTGATCCAAGATCTCCATCAGAGGTCCTGTTAAAACAACTGCGCATTCTTCCCGAGCGGATTCTGATAGAGCATCCGGTCCACTAGTCTTGTTTGGCTTTAATCTTATGAGCTTCTTGTAAGCATTTGTGGACTCACATAAAATGTGAGGCTCAGTATTGTTTAGATAAGGCAGGGGGAGTGTGTTGGGGGATGACGAGCTGGACACCGCTTTGAGTTTATCTACATCCTCGGTGATAAGTGTACTGAAGTAATTCTTCCCGTAGAGTTATCCTAGAAGCCTCCACAAATCACGATTGCCTAAAACGGTCTGAATATACAGAGTGTTTAACCTCTTATTTCTGCTTTTATTGCTTAGGACAGACATTTAACATAGGCAGTTCTTTCTTGTTCCACTGTTTCTTAAGCAGTGGAGATGAAAATCGGTCATTTCGCAACTAGATTTTCTCAACGAGGCAGTACCGATTAAAATAACAGTTTATCTAGTCTGTGTGATACCCGCATTGGACTGACAAAACTTCATTTGCGAAAATTAAAAAAATCAATTAAACCGTGTTATTTTGAACTTTTCGATGTTACGTACTGAGCAGTACCGTGGTTTAACGGTCTTGCATGATCTTTTTGTCAGCGTAACATAATTAGCTTTACTGTATAACTTGGAACATAGCTTTGTTATGCAGCGTTTGAAATTACCAAGAGATGCACGGTTTTTGTTTAGAAAATAGTTCGAATTTGTTAGCTAAAACCAAATCTAGATGCGCCTCGAGTCTGGTTGAGAATTTCGCCAGATTAACTAAACTTATGATGTTGATGAAAGTTACCACTTCTATTGAAGTCACTGTTGAAAATTCAGATGGAACATTCTAACTTTGGCTGCAACTCTAAGGCAAGGTGGTCTGCAAACCTTGGCAACTCGAACAGCGCTGTGTCCGGCGCTACGTACACGTTCCAAACCATGCGAGTTAGTAAACCGCTCAGAAACTTTGCTTTACACTCCAATAGAAGACAGCTTACCAAAGTTGAGTATTACGAGAGTTTTAAACGGATATGCAACAGTCTTGTTAATGTAAGTGATGACACCTCTTCCGTGATACTGGGGATCTCCTGGACGATCGGATGTAGTATGGTGGTAACCATTGAGAGTAACGACTTCAGCAGCAGTGTCAGAATACAACCAACTTTCCTGCAACATCCTTTTACCTGCATTTCTCAATTCCCTTCGCTACCACATGTTTGCGAGATCATCCCTTTTCCCAAAAAGTGATCGCATATTGTTTGTCAGGATCAGAGGAATTTGCGCACTGTTAACGGGACAGCGCTCGATTCATGCTTGCCAGCCAGCACGGTGCTTTTTCCTTTTTCCTAGGCCTTGTTAATTTTTTTGAAAGTCTTTCTGGTCTTGTGACCGCATTCAACTAATAGCCATTTTCGCACATTGTCTCGAAGGCAACTCACTATTTCAATCGAATGTGACAACATTGGGGACTATAGAACTGATTCACTTGGAGAAATGTCAAAGTAATTCCTGTAAGCACAAAGAAAACTCAGTGAGTAGCGTAGACTATTCCGATAATAACAGTAACAGTCGAATTAAAAGATCCAGCCAGTAGGGGATGAGAACAGTGTAGAACGTTCCATGGGTTTTTGTCAGTGCTCACGATACTACCCGCTTCCCAAGGCCGAAGTAGGGACACCACCCCGAGTCTTCGACGAAATGTCCTGCCCGCAAGTCAGCGTGGCAGATTCAGGGAATCGCACTCGTTGAGAGCCTTTCGTTCTGTACGTTACCAAACAGGGGCCCAATCTTCCACAGTATTTCAGCTAAAATCTGCTTGAGTGCAATACTGCACCGAAGTGAAGCAAGGAGCAGTGACTTTATTTAGTGGGGAGTAACATCCGCCAAGTCACTGAACTGTTTGCTGGAACGACAAAATGCCGAATCAACCAGCTGGGACCACGCGAAGCTTAATCCGCAAGCCAACCAAGCAAGAAATGTCTCATCTGATTTTGGCTCCAATCACTTGGTTTCCCAGGAATGGTTGGTGGCATCCGGTTTCGGATTTGCCTGTCACTGCAGCCTCCACGAGACAGCCGCAGGACGCCTTGCATCTACAGTAGGACCATCGGTGGTTTGCACTGCACCACCCACAGCTCCACCCACACACCCCATATCCAGTGTAAACCCGGAGTAATGAGACTGGGAGGTATGTGGATGGGAGCCACGTTTCTTCGACGGAGCCGGCACACACTTCTTCACAGGCAAACACAAACTGTATTTGGGGTATCAAGCACACACAAGGCCTAACACGATCAAAAGAACCGTGCACCTCCGTCCCCTCCAGTAGCAACGGCTAACTGTCCCTTAAAGCCAGTAAAGACGAGGTACTGGGTACTAGATAGGCAGGCACCTTGTCAACCTACACATCAAGCGCGGCCACACCGGGGATATCAAGCAACAGCCAATCACTTGAGATGACGATATCAAATAAAATAAATCGACCAAATTTTACGGATATGCCGACTTAACTCTTCACTAAATGAACGTATGAAATAAATTGCTTATCACGATATCCGCGATAAATTCAGGAAAAGGTTGTGCAACAAATTAGATTAAAATTAACAAAATTAACCACCTTTCGTTTAAGCGGCGTCTGTAAGTAACGGGCAAATTATTCAGCTGGACGTCTGAGTGAGGCAACAAAGTAAGTATTAACAAAATATAACAAACCCATCACCTACAATAAAGAAACTCAGCACGCAAGCATGCGGTTGGTAAATCGGATGGAAGCGCATGCAAGGTACCTGCCAACGCTTCACCTGTTTTACTTACGTTCTCAGTAGCATCCGTCGTTTTTTGATGCTGGTCCCGAGTGGCCTCGCTCTTGGCTTACTAGGAATTTCTAACTCACGCCCTCGCGACCGCATATATATATATATATATATATATATATATATATATATATATATATATATATATAAATCAACATACCAAGCGGCAGACATGGAGCCATCAAAAATTCATGGAAAACCAAGGGAAGTACAGTTTGATCAAAAATCGAACAATACATTTATTGTTTGGCAGGCTTCCCGAACAACCTTCATGTGGTGCCAGCTGCGTGGCTCGGCATTATCTCGTTCCAACGTATGAGTCCGTGGGGCACTGAAGTTTGCGGTAGCGAGATCCTTACAGCTCTTCTATCCGCTGTTGCTAATGTTGTGTCATGGACTCGTGCCCTGAACGCCTCCTCGTGTCGACCACTGAGTGGAAGTTTGGTTTCATACATCTCCGCGTTAGTCGATTCACTGACTCGTGTCACTCGGCCTGCCACCTTTCGTAGTACCTTTTATTCAAGTCGTTGACTGAGGACGAGTATTTTTCTACTTCAGTTGTGGACGCCCTGGCAGTGTACCTATCCAATAACTAACCATGAATTACAGCAATGCAGATAATCCCATGCTGCGTCGGTTTTTTGACTGGGACACTAGGAAAAGGGTCGCCTTATATGCTGCATACAGCGGCGTGAACAAGGGAAAACCTTTCACTGCTGACGCCTCCTTTCCGCTGTACCTTCTCTTCCAGTCCCCATTTCACCTATCCACTTACGTCTTCCAATCTGTCACCACACGAGCGATTTCCGGATTCAGTTGTATGCTTCCTTGCAAATTGCTCAATTTCAGGTGCCGGAACGTACAGACACTTCTCGACCGGAATACTAATGAGCGACCCTGGCGATAGAATCGACATTTCCGCACTCAATGAGATAACACGCTGACCAAGAGAAACTGCATGAAGCTGGTGTCAGTTCCACCTTCTACTGGGTGGAAAACGCCACCACAACACCACGCGATATTGGGCTCGAGTATGCACTATCCGGAAGCCAAAATGACCAACTGGTAGGTGAGCTAGCTGGCGTCCGCCCACGATGGTTGACCCTGCGCCTGGGCCCTTACATCGTCGATTTACCGCTTTAGCACGTATAGTCCCGCCATGTGTCCTACGTTCACTTGTCCCCCGTGATACTTTCGGTGCTGAGGAATGACCGGATTTCCCTGCTGGTTGATAACAACGCGCGCATTGGGCGGGATGCTGCAGTGTGCACAGACGTCATCGGTCCGTATGGGAACGCTGCCCGGTCGCTCTCACTGTGCTCTACTCACAGTCTGATGAACACACGCACACAGTTTGCCCTGGGTGCTAGTGACATCGCTACTTGGAAGCGACTGAGTGGTCACGCTCCTCTGCTCAGCCATGTCATCGTACGCCAGCGTGATATGTGTGAAGTGCGAGTGACACGTATACTGCGTGGAACTGTGTGGCACTCAAGGTGGACCAACCTGTACATATCTGCTTGTAAATCTATGGATTGTTCATTTGCCGCGAATTGGTAAACATCGAATGTTCTTCCCCTAGGTGTTGTTGAGAACAGAATGGAGCTGGAAAACTCGATTACAACCCGCCTTAGCGATGTCGACTGCAACACATCAGTCGGATGGCTGTGACGCACATCCGTGAAGAGAGGACGGCTGCCGCCGTGAAAGTGATCAGGCGTGCATACTGTAAGCGGACCGGCTGTTGGGATGACAACAGTGTGATCATTCGTACATTGGTGTCGGAGAAGAATGCTGCATTCGTAGCACATGTGGCGGACTCTGCCGACTCCTGGAAAGGGAGTCAATTTCGCGAACTTCTATGGCGATTGACTCGAGAGCTGCATCGCATCAAGAATGCATGGTGCATGGAGGACCTGGACTAGATGGAATGCTACGGGAATTCTTCGGTTTCTTTAAGACGGTGTATGGGCGCACATTGTAGCCGCTAAGGATGGCGCTCGATGCTATTTCAGACGCTGCCTGGGCGCAGACATAATACAGATCTAGCGAAAGCACTTTAACTGTCTAACCAATCATTTCCCTTTCTTTAATTACTCACTTTCTTTTCCTCCAATTCAGATCAGCGTCCGCATACGTGTGAGCACTGTACCAAATCGTTTGCAGACAAATCAAGCCTTCAAAGACACCTTAGAACTGTGCATTTGGGTGAGTAGTCCGTTTCTGCCTCTCTTTTGTTCAGATTTCTTCACTTTGCCATGGCTTCATTATTCCTATCCCGTGACCTTGATGGCATCCACCACACGGTTAATGGTCATTGTTTTGCTTCTTACGACTCGGCTGTATGTTACTTGATATATTGTCTAAGTGTTTGAAGGCAGACTGTTTGACCTAAAACGCCTGAGCGTCTCATGTCGTTTTGTATCACTTAGTTTTGTATGTAGTGCTTTTTGGGGGTTGCACCGGAATTCAATTTGTTGTGGTATCATCTTCTCAAAATGCTTGTATTCATCCAGTCGGTTGCATTCATTCTCTTTGAACACGGAATGCTGTATTGTGAGTGGAAATATACATTTGTCTGGGCACATCATTACTGAAATATACTCAGACTTCACACCATCCGTGCAAAAATAGTGTTGCGTTTAAAAGAAACAGCCTTCAAGGTCACTGAAGTGCAATTTGAAACAACAAAAATATTACCAAGGCAAGGTGATGGTGTTCATAAACTCACTCTCTTTGCACAAATCAGGTTTCAGCCGCCGAATTACCTCGGTAATTTGTTTGCTTATTTCAACTTTAAATTGCATGACCTTGAGGGTTGTTTCTTTTTAAGTGCAGCACCATTTTCCACGGATTGTATTTTAACATCTGGTGAGAATACTCGGAATATCTGTATTCAGAGTATCCTGTTGCAGTGTTGTTCCTTCTTGCTGGTTTAAAATTTGTCAATGGAAAATCCTGCATGAAATAGTCAAAGACGTTGTAACATGGTATGCGTCGCTTTCCAGCACTACCGGTTCCACAATAGTTCAAAAATAAATAAAAGTAAATCACCAGCTGTACGCTGTAGCGTCGCTTCGTTTCTATGCGACCATCACCAGTCGCACGTGGGATGAGTATACCACGAGGACGCCCACCTCTACACGGATTCGAACCGGTGATTTTATGGTGACAAACCGGGCGCGCAGCCCACTCGGCAACCGGCCGATCCAATTTCTCGTGTATTATTGCCATGTGTTTGAGACATTTCATTATGAATGACCGATCGTTCTTTGAACGACTTAGTTACGGAACGTAAATCTAGCTTTTTATGAGTTGCTCCGACAGACTGTTCCTAGCATTGACCACCCTCCGTTTCAATGCGCAGGAAGCGGACAGCTGTTTTTCTCTGCAGCCCCACCTGTCGTCTGTATGGTGCCCATAGGTGCAGCAATGATCTCAGCAAGGGAAGTTATCGAGATGTGAAATCGCGACCGCGTTTCGTCTCAACAATCCCCCGTTGTGTATGCATAAACAATTCGTCAATGCTTTGGCTTTACCATGACCAGCTGCCGCGTGGATGAATCACACCCATTATGGGCATTTTGATACCTTCATTCTCTAACTACTCAATCTAACCTTTCTTATCTTAACTATTTAAATGTGTTCTATTTGGTCTACCAATTAATCACTGAAAACGCGCTTGTTTGCTTGGCTGTCTTATCATGACTGAAAGAAGAATTATTCAACATTTAAAACGAACTGAAGATCTCACCTTACATAAGGAGCTTACAAAGTATATTAAGCTCTCTGCGCAACGTTCAGAGAGAAATATCTCGATTCTGTTTCTCACCAACTGCATCGGTCGTAGGGAATATGTCATTATGCTCCGACGAAACCAAGGCGTTTAGACTTAAACGACAGGGATACGTGATCGGCAAATCATCTTGGAAGGAAACCGATACGGCGCATCGCTAGCGTACATGCAGCTGAGTGCGGTAAAACAACAGCAAGAAAAGGGACTAAAATTGAATAAGCAGGTCAGCCAAGTCAAGATCAGGGTGAAATTTCCGGAGAATCCTGAGCGGTACGTTCACATCCTTTCATCATTGCAGCTAGACAGTACACTTGTAGCACTGTCCTTAGAGTCAACGTGATCTAGAACTGAAGCTTGAAAACTTTTACATACAGGTGGCTGAACTGGTGACTACAATTGAAGTAACTGGTGCAAAATTTAAGGCCAACCTGGTTCAATCCTGTTAGCAGTATCTGACCCGCACCATAACAGTCAGGAAGTTGCTGACAAGAGAGCACTTAGACAAACCGGTGACCGAAAGGGTTACACGCCTGGCTTGCAATCCGGTTCGAATCCGCGTAGCTGCGGGTGTCCTCGCAATATGCCCAGCCCACGCGTGACCAGGGATGGCCGCGTGGCAGCGAAGCGTCAGTACAGTGTGCCGGCGTACTGCTGATAACTTTTTGACTAAGTACAAACGACGGGCTTATACCCTCTCGGTCAGACAAAGGCGAGGAGGTTGTCATTATAAACAAAACCGAATCCCACCATAAGATGAGTGTATTACCTGAGAATACTTCAAAGTTTGTGAAAATGTTAAGTGAGAAAAATAAAATATCGCCGATTGAAAAAGCCATATCTAGATCTCTCGGATAAATGAAACAAAATAGACTGATTGATTCCATTCTGTTCGAAAACATTCCTCTTGTTGGCACCATTATTCTTAGATTATCTAGATTATTTAAGATACATCAAGCTGAGCTCCTTTACAACGCATATTAGATATTAGTAACTCACCGTAACATTCATTTGCAAAGTGGCTGGCCGAACTATTTAAACCACCAAGAAGTTAGGTAGCGACCCACAGTCTGTGTGGCACGTTCGAGTTCCTCGACAACATTAGGACACGAAATTTGGCTATTAAGCAGTTATTTTTGGTCGATATGACGTCGCTGTTTCTTAATATCCCCGTTGAAGAGACAATCGATTATCTTGCCGAATATATCGAGCGCACAGACAAACGAATTGGCTTGCCGGTAAACAAACTAAAGGCGTTGCTTCCTCAGTGTACCGACGCTGTCCAGTTACGCTTTACCGGACAGTTATATCGACAAAAGACGGGTTAGCTTGGGGCTCAGCATTGGGTCCCTTGTTCGCTAATGTATTTATGGTTAAATTAGAGAAGGATCCGCCGAGTGAACTGATTGAGCGGGTGCCACTTTGTAAACGCCATGTCCATTTCGTGATGTGCATAGTTGACTGCTCCGTGGACCAGATTGAACTATTGCGGGAATTCTATCGGGACCACAGGAACATTCAGTTTAGCATGCAATCCGAGTCAAACGAATGTCTGGCTCTCCTTATGTTCAACTAACACGTCGACCAAATGGATCGCTGCAGCGCAGAACCCACAGAAAAACCACATGAATGAGTCAATATGCGCACTTTGATAGCTTTGTGCCAAGTCGACAGATACGGAACCTAGTCCGGTGTGCTGTCGGAAGAGCGGTGCAAATATACTCCGAGGACACAATTGGAGCATAGCACGCTGCATTAACAGAAGTGTTTCTTAATAACGACTATCCCAAGGCCTTCATTGACAGAAATAATATGCGAACTGACTGCGCGATCGCCAAAGCACCCAAAGTAGGAAACATTCTGTCTACTTATCGTTGTCATTCAAAAGAAACAATAGTTCCGAATACCTTAGCAAGCGATTAAGCCTTGGCCGTCATTAACACCTAAGGGGCCTCACAGTTACGCATTATCTTCACTTTCACGCCCATGCTACGCCTCCAGCTAAAGGATAAATTCCCCGTGGATATCACCTTGTTCGTGTATAAATTTACCTGTTCTTGTGGGACAAGTTACGTAGATCGCACTTCGCTATGTTTGTATGAACCCATTCGCGAGCATCATTCAGCGTGGATGAGCCGAGGAGTGAACAAAACTTGCACCACAGCAATAGCCACGCACCCAGTCTGATCGGATCATCCCCTTGTTATCAATAAAACTTTTCACTCGATCTACCGTGTGAGGAGTGTTTGTTCCAGGTTTATCAGATGCCGAATTCTTGCATTGGCGAAAGCGGTCGCGATTCGTTCCAGCAACCCTTGTTGTGTGTATCACAACAATTTACCAGAGATTTTTATTTTGCCGCTTTTTGTTGGTTGTTGAGCCAGTGCGGTTGATAAACCACGGTATTATTGCATTCACTACCGCGCATACCGTCAGAGCACAGATCAGGTGAGTTTGGTTAATCGAATTTCATCTCTGTCCATTGGGTTGTCTGCAATTGGCTAAGCTTAGTGGCAAATCAGTCCATGGGTGTTGTGAGACCCCACTAAGTGCTTCATCGTTACGGCCGGTGATTTAGGTTGCCAGTCGGTCAAACAAATGATCCAGGTATGCTTTTGTTGTGCTTGTTTGGTTTCAGGGCAAAGGAGAGATAAGTAGGAAAAGTAAATGGAACAGTATAGGGCCTCTGTTCTCCGTGCCGCCAACCCAGCCGGGGGAAGAAACAAAACACGGAAGTCTGCTAGACCGATGGATGTCTCATGGACAGGGAGTGTTTAACTTTATAACTCCCATTCACTCATCTTAAACTGTGTGTTACTGATGTGATTTACGCTACTTGTCTAGACGGATTCAAACCTAGTTGCGGCCTTCTCTATCTTGATGTACTTACAAGCACATCCGCACCATAGCAGCCTGTGTGGCGATGGTGGGCTGGCTCTGTCAAACGCTATGGATTGCGCGGTACTCTGTGTCGTGTATTAGGAACTGAGTGAGTCATCTTCCCATGTGATCTACCGCAGATGCAGCTCGTGTCCTGAAAACGTACCGCGCCGTTCATCCGTTGTGGCCACCTAATTACCACACAGCAATTTCTAGAAACATTGAGACTTCCTTTACTAACAGCTTTCAGCGTGAATTCGTCTTTACGCCCAGTTGTACATTTTTCGACGGACAAAATTGCAAGCTTTCTGCTGGTGCATTTTGAAATGCTTATTGCTTTGTATTTCCCAACCATTCGTCTACACTAGTTACTGCAATCCAACTTAACATGTGCGTGACCGTCGCCATTGTGGGATTATCAACTTGGTGAGGAGAAGCGTATTCACTTAGCTTGTTGCTTAAAGTCGCTCCAATGGTGGGCATTCGTGCTTACTACATGAAACTGCTGGTTCCTCAGGCAAATAACTAGTAAATTATACTTGTAACTATGGGAAAGCTTATCTGATCTTGCTCTTGTCTTCTATTTTCTCACAAGTTTGAAGTAGAGTTGAAGCTGAAGAGTTTCGGCGTTGCTCTGTCTTCCAACATTACAACGCACGACTGAGTGCGTGCTCATTCGCACAATTCCTGCAGAACTAACCTGGGCTGAGGTTGGAACTTGGCGCCTAGTGGCTGATAGTCTGTGTGGAATTATCCTGAATGCCCTATCCACTCGACGATCCCCTGATTGTGATTTCTTCTACAATTTACCCCAACACTTTTCTTTGTTCTAAATCACTCTTTTTTCTCTGACTCTCAATGCAGATTAAGTGTTCCGAAGTTACAATACTTACGGGTTTTGTTTTGCATTTTGTGAATGTGGCTGATCTCCATCCAGTCGCACATGTTGGCCTACTTTTCTAACTTCAAAACATACTCCACCACCGCTTCGCATAGTAGTGCCCGATGTGTTATCGGTGCTCCAGAATGTTTCAATATTTATCTGTTGTGTTCAAATTACCTCGCACTGCATAAGTGACCTGACAATATTGCACTGTTGATGTGGGTGAAGGTCACATTTATGGAAACCATTTGGTTAGTGCGGCCTATTACTTTGTTCCTTATGTAGAGCTGAAACACAATGCCATCACTGTGTGTCATGTACAGATTCTCACACCCATTGCTCTTGGTAGACTCCTTTCTTTCTGATTGGTTCTGTGTAAACCTGTTTTAAGCCACAGTGCGTTGAGACGAGTTTCTTTTCCACATATTTGTCGGCTATTTGGATAGTTGCTGTTGTTGATATATTCTTCACGTTTGTACTCACTTTATTGCATCGCCGCAGTTAGACACTAAGCTTCAATGCAATTGCGCTACAGCCTGCAATATAAGGTGCGTGTTTTCGACACTTTTCGTTCGCTATTTGCTATCTGCATACATTTGCTAATTGTTGTATACTGCCTCTTGAATACGTCAGATTCTAACAGTGTGATACCAACTCTCCTAGTCGGATGAACGAACGAGACTCAGAATTATTTTCTCCACAGCACGGTAACTGACAATCTCGAAGTCTATGGGTTCTCGGAACTTAGCCGCGAAAGATTTATTCACGCGAGTCGAACGGGTTCCTAGACCGAACGCAAAGTTTCTACGCACGATTTCCCAACCCAAGACTGAATCAGCAACAAGACAGGCCTTTTGCCACAGGCGCTTTTACTAGCCAAAGCTAAGGCGATTCTAGCGTTGTACAGCCTCATTTTTATATCACGAATCGGTGATGAGGGGGGTTCCCTTGAAAGGGTTTGCGTAAGCAAACCCTGGAAACAAGAAACATGGTTTTATGTAAATATGCAAAGTCCGTAAACTGAGCAGAAATGTTGGAAGTTTGGCGAGAGTTGTCCGGAAAAATAAATGTTGTTTGGATACAACAATGCGTGTTTGGTTGGAAACAAGACTGTTTCTGAGTGCAAAGGCTAAACAATGTGAATGTTTCCCGAGCTGGAAGGCTGATTGAACGTGTGCGTTTTGTCTGATCCGAGTACATGTGCACTTGTATGAATCGAGTTTTCAGCCTTCCGTAATTTCAGCCTATAATAATTATAAGGACATTGGGTCGCCATAACACCAATAAAGGCGTTTATTCGTTATTTCTGTTTTGCAGAGGAATGGATGGACAGAAAATACCTAACCTCGTGAACAACTCCGTTGCAGAAGTTTTGCTTTGCATTTGACCCCTTTGGTGTTTCCTACTTTTTTGGCATATTTAGTGCTTAATTTTGTCTTTTCTATATGATTAAATCCTTTTATGATACTTAAGCTATTCTGCTGTTTAAGACAAGGGTTTCAGATTCGACCTTATGAGCCCCTTCGTTACAACGCATAGTACTCACGCGTTGCAGCCACGAGTTGACCTCACGCACCAATCAACAAGTGTAGCCTCAGTCCCAGTGTGTCATTGGATACTGTATTTTGTGATCAAGTCGGGATTTAAATCTGTCAACTCCATCGAAATGTAATAAAAATATATTTAAATATCTGTCACTAGTTGCTACTCTAATCATTCTTCAATTTATTGTGCTTTACCAGACTAGCCAAAGTCTGTTGACTGCGAGGACCGTGATGATATATTTCTAATCATACTAAATCCCCACTACTCATAAGTAATATAAAATCTGTCCTTGTGGCTTCTAAGTCCTTGAGTCGTACCAAGGTGCTAGCGGAAGTCCTAGCTCGTGGGGACAACTGCTGTCTTCTGCACATTTCGTAATTGGCATGGCAGCAGAAGATGAGCCGGGGTATCTCATAGTCAACTGTCAATCACACAGTTCCGCCCATGGCGAGGTGGTACTAGCTGCTGGCAACAGGAAGTCATGAGGCGGAATCCGCTGGAAGGTGCACCGCTGATTCGGTTCAGAAGGTCGAAACACCGGTGTCTGGTGCTTTTCCAGATTAACCAAAGCCTGCTGACAGAGTGGACCGTGATGAACTATCTCTAATTCGTGTGAACATTTAAAACATTTCTTGTGTGCAGTATCGCTGAGCTCACCAATGTAAGATGTCCGTGTGCAATCGTTCTCCGAATCGCAAGGTGGTGAGCTGTGAATCCAACAAAGTCTTGAACTGCTGCACAGATTCGGTCTCCACTAATTGTTTTGACAAACTGGTCCAAACTTTTCCCACTCCGTTTAAAACTGTGCGTTGAGGAAGTCGCTTCACGTCCGATGCTGCAAGGTTACGCCGGGTTCCGCGTGTGCTGCGCGGTTTTTACAAGTGAAGCAGCGGCCTTACCATGGGAAATCATCAAGATGTAATATGCGGTGAGTCACGACGAGATCGATTCTTACCCGAAGCTGGACGAGGTTTACTCTCGGTTTCTCACATCGATCTTCATACGACAATCATCGTAAACTTGCAATGAGCCTGGTATCGACATGCTGGATCTGTTTGATCCTGTATACGTCTCGGCCGACGACAATATGCGGACGAATGGTTATCCAGTATCGTTCTTAATATGGAAGACAAAAGACGAGTAGCGACCTCTTCAAATCCAGTACAGAAGTTGCGTTTAAGCGCCCAACGCATGCGCACTTCGTTGCGATATAGCCTGTTCATGTTGTCTCCGGACTTCAAATCGCAGTGCGAGAGTGCATTTAAGTTACTTCATTTATGGCGTGGGATGTAACGGTAGGCCGTCGAGGTTGTAAGTGCGATTCTCACCACCCTTCCCTAGGTTCATGAATACCGACTTGCTTAGGTTGATATGGATGCAGACTTCTGCAGACCACATGGAGAGGCAGTTGTTGTCTTGTTGAAGTACGCTGCAGTCGCCGGGGTTTCTAATCCCTCCATCCTTTCAAGTCCTCCGAAAACAGGACACACGACGATCGCAGAAGTTGAAGTAAATAGTTGATGTTAATTTGAAACAGCGTTTGTCCCACCATCATACTTCGAGGTACGCCGCTAGATGAGTGATACAAGTCAGTTGAATGGCCGTCGACCACTTCTGTCCAACGAGAAAGTCCTAGATCCACCAGTACTACATACCCACAACTCGTAGAGTAGGACTTCATGGTTTACCTTGTCAGACGCCTTACTGAAATTAATGTAGACTACGTCGACAGACTTACCTTAGTTCCCTGCCTGCAACCAATCATGCCTCGTCACCTTTACCTTAAATCTTGATTTGCTGGCGTCAGTAGATCTTTTGATTGAAGCAACGATCTCGGCAACCTTGACTAAAATAAGTGATGGCTTGTAGTGGTCCACTTTGCTGGAGTCACCACCTTTCATAATCGGCTTTACCGCTGAGAATTTCCAGTCACTGTGATGTACTTTCGGACAAGGACCTGATGAGCAAGGCAGTCACGACAGATGACGTGGTGGGCAATAGGGACTTGAGCATCAGAGGGTTCTGTCCGTCAGGTCCAGTAGGTTTGTTGCCTTCAAGGGTAGTTAGTAGTTGGCGCATCTCTATAACATCGCAAACCAAGCAGTCGAGTTCGGTAGCTGTGGTACACGTCGAATACAATACAGACAACTGGTCATTTGCAAACACAAAAACGAAGTGCAACGCAGACACACGCTCAGCCCTGGAAGTTTGGAGCTGTCCTTCCAAATCCTCTAGCACTGCCACATCACTTGCAGCCTTCAGGTGCTGCTTCACGTGAGTGGGATTTTTCGGGGCGACGGTTGCGAGCTGCACCCCGAAATGCCTGCAGTTGTTCTTTTTTACACTAAAAATATTATGCTGTCATGTATATGTCTCGTTGTCGTTGGAAGAGACGTAGAAGAGAACTACGTCCCACGATTTGCTCCACCGCCTAGCCATTTCATTGTATTTTTCATCAAACCGTTGTGACTTCACTAGTCCAATTTTTCGACACTTCAGCGGTACAAACCGAGAGCACGGTGATGTCGCTCCCAGTTCAACAGTCTTCCAGAGATGCAGCTCTTGGCAGAGGCCTATCTACTTGGCTCGCGGCTAGAATTAAACCGTCGAACTCAGTTTTTGATCGTTGTAAACTGGCTCTGGTGGACTGGAATATGATAAAGTTCGCTCCATGCTCGCTCTGATCGGTCACTTGCTGCTTAGGGCTTAAGGGTCCGCATGTCATACACATGGATCCACTGTTCCACAACCGAAGACTGACAATTCTGGCGTGATTACCTTCAATGCCTCAAACATTCCGATTCTCCAATCACCTGGAGCTTTTCTGATGTCATTTCACGGACAGCATTGCGCGCGTATAAGCGGCTTTTCCGATGATCTTTCATGGAGTTCTCACTTGGCCATGGAGACAATTACACTTACATTTGAAGGAATTACTAGTCCACTTTGCGGAGAATTGCATCTTTCATGTTATGGACATATTCAGACACAAGAAACAACTGCACTCACCGTCCCTATGACAAGTCCAGCATGGATAGCTGGACACGGGTTGCGTGCCGGACAATATAATAGAAAAAGCCGGCCTCTATTATTGTGTTTACTCACCCGCATCATTATCATTCGATCGCGACTCTTTTACATCATTGACTGGCTTTAACGACAATTGCCGGTTCAGTACTAAGCCATTTGGCAAACCAAGGAAGAATTTTGGCTGTCAACCGACTGCGAATAATAGAGTGCAAAATCGGTCTATAGGATGCATAGCCGACTAGCACTACAGTTCAACGGAAGCTACGACAGTGTTCCAGGACGTGATGGGTTTTCGCCTGGCAAGCGTTCTCCCTATAAAAAGCCACAAATGTCCGCTTAACAACACTGCAACGTGGCGGATGTGACTCGCCACAAAATAAAGCCACAGCTATACATTTCACACTGACACAGTCCTCAGCCTCCTACATCCAACCTGTGCAACTGATTTTACTATGAAGAATGCTTTAGTGGAGTACCGATCATCCCGGCTTCGTAATGGTCATTGCTTGCACTAAACCTTGTTTGGGCTCCTGTGCTCATGGATCACTACATGGCAAATTTACCCCCCACTTGTATCTTGACGCAACAGTTTTTTGCGCGCCACAGCGCCATCATGGTCCTTGATCTGACTATTACCTGACAATATGCTCACTCATATGAACTACATCTTTTCGTTTATCTCTTTCATTGTAACGAAATATTTTAATATTCCAAAGAAGCTATGCTTGTATGCATATTTGATCGTGCCTTTTAGAGGTGTGTCTCGTTTTACAGAGAATATACCATTTTTTATTCATTTATTTATGTTCACACTGTTAACATTAGGACTAGGCACGACGGAGTTCAACGCGCCTTTACGCCTGTCCGATGGCATATATGTTGCGCTGCTCCACTTTCTAATACCAATTCTACGACCTTTGCTTCGACCTCACAACGTCCAGGTGTATGTTGGACTTCAGGCCAAACCACCCGAGGACGTTTGAAATCACCCATATATATAACATGGGAACAACATATGTTTTCGGAGATGCGGCGGCCAATCCAAATAACGACGCAAGGGCCTGCGATAAAACACATCTACGAGCAACTCTCCGCCCCCGTGGTGGATCTAGTAATACAGCTGCTAACACAGGCCATCGTCGCTCACAAGTGCCTGGGCTACATAGTTGTTCCAAGTTCCTGATGTGGGGATTTCTCTATACACTCGCCATGCTGCGTTGCGTACTGTCATCCATTTTCGAGTAGTGCGCTTAACGAAAGAAACTGATGTACACTTTTTGCAAACTCTTATCTCTGAACCCTCTGCAACCAGCTGACTGAATTTGTTGACGGAATCGTGACAGGCGACTTGCGGTGGTTCTTTCGCAAGAAACGACCAGGTTGTAGTGCTGACGAGCTGGGCTGATCGATCTTAGCTTGTAATGGTTCGTACAGTCCCATCGTTCTCATTCGGGTATTCTGCATAGCAGACGAAGTAGAAACTGATCAGTGCGTGATCACTGCGACTCGACGTGCAGTCTAAAATCAACACATAAATCATATGCTCCTCGTTGGTAAGCAAAAGACCTAGCACAAATGGCCTGGCACCTGTTCTGAACCGTGGGCAAAGTGATGTGATTGTAAATAGAAACAGTGGTTACGAGATCCTGTAGACCGGCTTTGATTTGTTCTCCAATCGTGGCTGGAGTTTCTACCCAATGTACGCTAAAATCACCCGTGATAAGTATGTGAGTGTACTTTCGCCGTAAACTGCATATTAAGGTAGCCGC